TTTCACTAATTCAAAGCATTAATGTTCTCTTGGGTATCTTAAAGTAAAAGAATTAGGTTTAGGAATAGTAAATACGTTTGTACTCTTACGTTGTGAATAAAATATCTAAATTCCTTTCCCAGTCAATATTAATGAGGTCCAAACACATTGAATATGTAAGCAAGCAGATAAAATTGATAAGACATAAATAATCTGAATATAAATGCATTCATACAATATGCAAGGTGAATTATTAATACTATCATGCATATTTAAAATTAAAATGAGTTTGTTTACCACATAATATAATAAATCTCAATCGAACAAGAGATCATTATCATTATTGGTGAATAATCCCTTTTAATTAATGTGAGTCCCTCAACTCTGTAGCATAATAAATCAACCAATCAATATGTCAATAACTTATCCTGTTGGAGGAGTTCATTATTACTATTGTAGAGATTCATTTGCTATTAGGTGAGCACTTCCATTAAAATAATATGTGGGTCCCTTAACCACTGCATGAAAAATCGGATAACCAATACACCAATAACTTATTCGGTTGGCGAAGTTCATTATTGTTATTGGCGGGCAAATCCCATCATCTCCATATTTTTTAAGACAATGTCTTGTCTATCTATATGAAATGATTCCCGATTATATTTAGCCTTTCTAAAATCACTTAGTGTAGACCACTCCGTTGGGGAGCTAACACTATTGATTTTAGATTGAGTGTATAACGTTATTAAAGCTCTAACGAAAAATAAAACATTAAATATGTTGTCATTATAATCTAGACTCTTTAAATCATGCGTAGGGCCTTATTTTTAAAGATCTAATTACAATGAACATTTAATATTTTTATTTTCATGAGACAACCATTCTTGTAATATTAAGACTCTTCAAATCATGCGTGGGGCCTTATTTTTGAAGATCTAATTACAATGGTATTAATAACGAAGGCCATGGGGCAATGTATAAAAATCCCCGCTCCCACTCAAATTTTTTTTTTAAATAATTCATAATTAGGATTTTCATTTTATTTAAATACATGATATGATGCATGCTAAACGTCTTGATTTTAATCCAATTAAATTTAGAAAATATTTAAACTTTAAATGATTCACTAATATTTAATTGGAGGCACACTTTAAAAATAATTTTCAAAAATAATTTTTCGTTTCCCAATAAGTGCCCTCAAATTAATTAGTAATCTAATCCAATTAATTTTCATAATTTAATTAATGTAAATCAAGCCATTTAAATAAATATCATGGATCCAAGGCATGAATAATAATTAATTAACAATTATATATTCCATGTATTTCATACATTGCATAAATAAATAAATAACAGATAAAACAAATAAAACGGCCAATGGAATCAGCTTTTAACATTTAACTACTCTAAGTATCGCGGGAAGATCATCCATCGGCTTGCAAACACCCACATAAGGCTGGTACGCACCAGGAGAAGCAAAACACCGCTTGGAACGCGCCTGGAGGGCCCCACACGCGCTCACACGCGCCTGGGGCATGCTGCAGGTGAAGGCACGCGCCCCCACGCGCTGGCACGCGCCTAGGGCGCGTGAGACGCGCCCCCACGCGGTGGCACGCGCGTGGGGCACGTGGGACACGCCTCCACGCGCCTGCACGCGCGTGGAGGTCCTACACTCTTGGCTGGCCAGCATATGTCCCCTCTTGGCGCGTGTTCCTCACGCGCCAGGCTCACCCCACATGCACCACATCTGATCCCAGCCTCCTCCAACGCCTCTTCTCGCCGCCGGCGATGCTCCGGCCACCGGAAAAATGCCGAAAAATTCCAGAAAAATCAGAAATATTCCTAGAAAATTAAATTAAGCCTCAAAAAATTCCAGAAAAATTCCAAAAAATTTCAGAAAATTACTGAAGCATAATTTAACCCTTTTGGACCTTCTTGAAGCTTCATAGCATCCTTTGATGAATATTACATGGCTTTAAAAATATTTACAACTTGAAATACAATGGGAAAAATAAATTACATCATTGAACTTTCAAACGGTTAAATCAAAGCCTTAATTACATTCATCCAAAGATAAAATTACATTCAATATTCCTATAAGCTTCATCCATGGCCCATCCATACATCATCATTCATTCACAATTATTCATACATCATCATGTATCAATATATATCAACATATTAAATCATACATTAACATACATCAATAAAAATATATATGAATATAATTTTGGATCCATGAATGATGATTTTCATAAAATCATGATCTCTAGTAATGAATCAAACCATGCTCTGATACCACTGTTGGGAAACGTGCTAGTTTTAAAAACTTTTCGAAGGATTTTAATTCATAGATCTTGATTCATTACATAGAGACAAGTTTTATGCAAAAATAAAATATGATGTATCATTCAATTAAAAGATTGAATACTTACATCAAGGTTTGAGTAAACCTTTAAAACTTTCCTCTAAAGTGAATGTTCTCACTTATTGTAGATCCCTTAGCAAGATGCCTTCTTCTTGGATCTCCATCTTCTTGGTAATTGTTTTGCCTTTAGGAATCACTCATAAGCCTCCATGAATGACCTTGGAAAACTAGGCTTGTGGGAGCCTCCATTAGATGAGAACATAAACCCTAATTTTCTAGAGAGAGAAAATATATTCCTTTTTCCTTCTACTAAAAATCACACACCCTAAAATATACATAGACCATGTATATTTATAGGCAACATAAAAATAAAGAAAAGGAAATAACAAATCATTCTCCATCTCTAATTCATATGTCTCAAATCTAATATGATTCCAATATCAAGTTGGGCTATGAGTGAGAATCCATTGGGCCTATTATTTTATTGGCTACAATGAATTAATAATTGGCCCGGTCCATGGACCCAATTCAATTAATTCATAAATTAATTTCTACTCCACTAAAAGAAATTAATTGAACTCCAATTAAATAATAAATAACCTCTAAGTCAATATTGCACTTTGACCCCTCTATGCATAATTAGTTATCGGATAAATAAAGCCATCAATCCGATTACTTAATTAATATATCTATTTTGGTACCTCTGATTATTTCTGGCTCGATCACAATAAAACATTTGTTTGACAAAAATAATAATTTAAATAAATAAATATATAATAAATCATTTTGTCTAAAAACACACGAAGGCCTTCGAATTTACTTTGTGATCAACCATAATCAATACAAAATAAATACAAGTAGCAATGATGCAAATATTGAAAATATAACCCTCTAACTATTAATTACATAACTACCCAAAGTGTCGGTCTAAGGATCCCGAAGAATCTGCCGAATAAATCAAAGTAATTATTAATTAATAAAAGAGTCTATACTTTTCTCATACTTAAGAGTCAAATGCCATGACGGTGATAGGGAGTAATTACATACGACGGCTCTCGCAATATATCTCAACCTAACGCGGATCCAGTTCAAGTCTTAATTAATTATGAGTCCATCCATAATTACCGACTATGAACAATTTATAATTACTATTTATATATCATGCATTGATTGCCATCACATACATATATACAAATATTTCTTGTAATTACATGGACACTATCAATTTCATAGTGAATCGAAACATAATACATTGAATTCACCAATTATATAAATCATAAATATTTCAGATATGTTTGGAACATATGTCACTATAATCCAGATAGGAATTTGCTATGCCAGGACATATAAATCCCAACACAAACATCTTCAGAGTTGTAGGTTAGAAAGAGATAGAGTCGTGGTCTAACGGTTTTTAGGATTAATAGAGAGAGAGAGATGGAGTCATCATTGTCTTCTTAGGGTTTCTGAGATTAATAGAGAGAAAGAGATGGAGTCATCATGGATCATGGTCTTCTTAGGGTTTTGGAGATGAATAGCAGAGCTTCAAAAAAGGGAGTCATAGAGGCTGAATAGTTGCAGAGATAACTTCTCTTGCCCCAGAGTAATATTTTTTTTTATTCAATATATTTTTAATTTATTTTTTAAAAAATTGAGTTGGTTGAAAGTCTTCTTAGGGTTTCAAAGATGAATGACTTTCGGGAGTCATAGAGGCTGACTTGCTCCATGGTCCTCCGAAAACGAATTGGTGGAGTTGACGTTGGAGTTCAGGATGTACAAAGCCTCTGGAGTTCTGCTGAAGCATGGTTCATGGGAATGGAATGAAGAATTGCAATGACGATCTATTGCAAGGACGAGCAGCAAATTGAAACGCAATTAAAAATTTGAACAGGGTTTAAGACACAAAGTCAGTGTGCGTGTGTATTATGTTAATTGTGTGGCCCAGAGCCGTGAACGGAATTAGACTGAAATTTGGTTTTGTTGGCTGGTGAGGACTAGGAAAGTAACGATTAGTTTGTTTCTCTTTTCTTTTTTTATAGAAAACCAAAAATCAGTTCTGTAGGTATATATACCCACACAAAAGATTTAAAAAAGTAATAATAATAATTAAAAAGTGAGCAAACCATTTCTTAGGGAATATCTAAAGTGAAGTACTGTTGCTTCATTGCCATGCTCTAAAATTAATACGAAAAACATTTGCTTCAGTCCTAACATCGAATTTAGAACGATCAACTGAAAAATGTAACCTCTTAATTTCCCAAATATTTCCAATCAAAGAGCATATCAACAAAAATCAATACAAAATTTTTCAAAACCAATACCATTTTCTACAACACAAGTAGATAAGCCTTCACCTTTTTTTCAAAATTACTTCTGCAAACATTACTTTCCTTTTTCGTAGAGCAATTTGTAGTATAAAAACGAATCCGGGGAACAAAAAGTTCACCCGTTGATCAAACATATTAATGGCCATCCTCTTAATCCGTGGGGGTGTCACCAATTCATACGCTGCCCATGCACCATATGAGATCCTATATAGTCTTCTCCCTTCGGCCATTTCACATCTGATTTTGTGGAGGTATCTGGATAATAAAGACCATAATGTGATTGGGATTTTCAACCACGAAATAATATTACTATCAAGTCAACCCTATGATGTAACGGATCGATTTTTCCCCTTAAAAAATAATATACAAACTTCAATACTTTAAAAATGAATAAAGTAAAACTATGTAAATTAAATTTTAAAACACACAAATAAATACTTATACCGATATTCTATTCTCATTCTATTTCTATTCTCATTCTATTCTCAGAATTCAAGAAGAATTAACAAAATGCACAAAATCGCTTGGCATGACTATGTCACCAAGAATAAATATTTCTCTAACAAGGTCGGCGAGAATTACTTTAATTTCAAACTGTTAGAACCGCTTTGCCATTGACCACGAAAGCGTCGCAGCAGCTCTACAACCCTATTGAAGCAGCTCTCGTGCCTTTTCAGAATGGTGTGAATTGTGTTGGTTAAATCCCTAATAGATAAATAGGAGTAAACATCATAGCAAATAGATAGAAAAAATAAATCCACAACATCAACTGTACAACCATCAACATAAAACCAACTATTTCGCCAAAATTGGCTGTTTAATCGAACTGTGGAATACCTCTAACAAGGTGTCATATGGGCTTGGCACTAATCTCTGGGTTGGGTACCTCTATTGGGCCATGTAATTTTCATTCAAACCTTTCTCAGGCTTACTATGCATGTATGTAATTTTAATTTATACATAAAAAATAAATAATGGAAAAAAAATTAAACTAACTAAGGAAAAAATAATCCAAGAACGTCAAACTAAATAAATAATGAAAAAAATAATCCAAAGAGCATATAAAATATTTTATCAACTAATTGAAATTTCAGTAAAATAATATATATATATATATATATATATATGCAAAATAAATCTTGTACCACTGCAAAAGAAACAAGTCCTCTATGCTTTTTGGTACAAAAATCACGAACTGTCAATTGCCTAATAATCTATTAGAAGCCATTAGGGTATATATTTGGGTTTGCATTTCTAAAACCGGATCCTAATCCGATCCCATAGATCATATCAACCACCAATTAATTACTAATATAATACGATTTTTTTAAAAATAAATACAATAATCTTATGCCTTGAAAAATATTTATAAGTTTTTTCTAAAAAATAAAAAGAACGTAATGAAAAAAGAAATCCAAAAGATAAATTCAAAATCAATGTTTCAACAAGAAAAATCAATCACAAATCATATAGACTAGAACATCAAGAAACAACCAAATAATCAACAAATTTGCATCACTAAAACATGACTTTGCAACAAATTGCACATTTAGCGGGTTTTATGTCAAACTTTTTTCGTAGGGGTGTTTCTTGTCATAAATTGATAGTAGAGGTTGCAATTTTCCATAATCTAAAAAATCAATCCAATAATGAATATAAACCAAACAATATAGAGAACATATTCCTCAGTCATTCCCCTCAATTTTTTTTAAAAAACAAAACATGAATATAAAACCAAATAATCCAAAATAGCACATAGACCAAATATAGAAATTGTTATACCACACTATGAAAATAAGGGAAGACGTGTGCAAGGAAGATACCAATATCTTTTCCGATTCCACCCATTTCACTGAACTTTCTTCTCCCCAACAGGTATACCTGTAATTGTAGGATTAAAACTGAAAAAAGTTAAATATGCCACTGAACTCCTATGCATTATTTGAACTTGAACATGTAATACTTGAAATCATTATTAAATTGATGTTAATTTTTTTAGCAGCTAAAATACTTGGAGGTTTACAAGGTCCACTCCTGAAGGCAAAAACTTCAAAGGAGGACTCCAACACCACAACCTCCGTATCACTTTTACCACAATCTATTATTTTAGTTTCCCTAGTTCTTTTTTCCTTCTTTTTTAGAAAGTTCACATTTCCTTCTCCATTCGATTTTAAATAATTTGTACTGATGTTGCATACACATCAATTAGTTGCAATAAGGTTTCATAATTTGTACTCAAGTTACTTGCACATTAATTAGGATGACAAGTCCGTAAAGTTTTTAAAAATCAAAATTCAGAAAAGACTACTCCTTTACTATTATTATTTACCACGCAACAACAACAACAAAAAATAGTGTTTTTTTTACCACTTCACCTTGTACTTGGCGACCACTTCGCTCAATTCTTTCAAATCACCCTTGGTAAAGATCAACACAACATTGCCCTAATTTCCAAATCAATAATAATCAATAATAATCAATTTTTTTTGCCTCAAATTAAATATTAGTAAATCATTTAAAATCCATATATTTTCTAAATTTAATTGGATTAAAATCAAGGCATTTTGCATGCATTAAATCATGAATTGAAAACCTTAGTTTTATATTATTAAAAATTGAGTGGGAGCGGGGATTTTTATACATTACCTCATGGCCTTCGTAATTATAACCATTGTGATTAGATTTTTAAAAATAAGGCTCCACGCATGATTTAAAGAGTCTAGATTACAAGAATGGTGGTCTCACGAAAATATATTTATAACCATTATATTTAGATATTTAAAAATAAGGCCCTACGCATGATTTAAAGAGTCTAAGCTATTAATGGCAATATATTTAATATTTGATTTTTCGTTGGAGCATTAATTATGTTATACACTCAATCTAAAATCAATAGTATTAGCTCCCCAACGGAGTGGTCTATACTAGGTGATTTTAGAAAGGCTAAATTTAATCGGGAATTATTTCATATATATAGATAAGGCATTGTCTAAAAAGATATGGAAATAATGAGTTGTTCTCGTCAATAAGTAATAATGAATTCCGCCAACGGGATAAGTTATTGGCATATTGATTGTCCGATTTTTCATGCAATGTGGTTAAGGGACCCACAATTAATTAATTATTTTATACTTGCATGATTATTATTATTCACTTTATTTATTGTATGAATGCTTTTATTTTCAGATTTATCATGACTAGTGCATTCAGTCCACTTGCAAACATACTAAAAGAAAATCGATTAACTAGACCTAATTATATCGATTGGAAAAGGCAATTAGATATTGTACTCACATATGAGGGGTTGAATTATGTGCTTACTACTCCTAGACCTTCTCCACCTTTGCCTGAGGATCCTCCTGAGGAACATGAAGTTTTTAAGAAATGGAATAAAGCAGATGGGATGACTAGGTGCTACATTCTTGCTTCACTCTCGAATGTACTCCAAAGTCAACATCTTCAATATCTCACTTCTGCAGACATCATGCTTAACCTTAAGGAAATGTTTGGGCAAATTGGTAAGAGTGCACGCCAAAATGCTATGACAAATTTGATGACCATTAAGATGGTCCAAGGTACTTCAGTTCGGGAACATGCTTTAAAAATGATTGGTTTTTTAAATGAACTGGAGATCCTTGGATGCAACTTGGATGGTGAACTTCAGGTTGACATGATTATCGCTTCATTGCCAGACTCATTTAACTCTTTTAGGGTTAATTATTATATGAATAAGCTTGAGTACACACTCGCTGAACTATTGAATGAGTTGGTAACCTTTGAAGGGATAAACAAAAGCAAGGGTGCATCTATCAACTACACTCAGTCTGCTGGACCATCCACTTCTAGGCCCAAGAGGAGGGGCAAGAAAAAGAAGAATGATGGTGTCAAAACTGTGGTTGTGCCAAACAAAGTAATCCAAAAGGATAAGGGAAAGAAGAAAGTGCGGGTTGAAGGCGAAGGAAACTGCTTCCATTACGGTCAACCGGGTCACTGGAAACCTAACTGCCCAATACTTCGCACACAAAGTAAAGGAAAAGGTATATTCATTGTTGAGGCATGTAATGTGGTTGAATCTATAGATTCCTGGTGCATAGATTCTGGAGCCACTAATCATGTTTGCAATTCATTGCAGGGATTCCAGGAGTCCAGAAGCCTCAATGAAGGAGAGATATACTTGCATATGGGATCTAATGCTAAGGTGGAAGCTAAAGCAGTGGGAGTGGTTCATATGCAGTTTGATAGTGGGATGAGTCTTATTTTAGAAGATTGTCTTTATGCGCCAAATGTTAGGCACAATTTAATTTCAGTTTCTTCGTTGGTTTGCAAAAATTATATTTTTACTTTTGGAAAAAATGTTTTAATTAAATTAAATGGTTGTGTTATAACTTCTGGTGCATTGAAAAATAATTTATATGTTTTAACTCCTAGCTCATATCAAATGCAAAATTATGAATTAAATGCAACTTCATCTAGATTGAATGTTAAAAGAAAAACAGTTTCTCCAAACTCATTGTATCATTGGCATCTACGATTGGGTCACATCAATCAAAATAGGATTCAAAGGTTGGTTAAAGAAGGTTTATTACCTTGTGAGGCAGAGGAGCCTATGCCAACTTGTGAGTCATGTATTGAAGGAAAGATGACTCGAAGGGCTTACTCAGCCAAATGATATAGAGCCAAAGAACAATTAGAGTTGGTGCACACAGACGTGTGTGGTCCCATGAACACCTAAGCGAGAGGAGGGTTTGAGTACTTCATCACTTTCATTGATGATTATTCACGTTTTGGATATATTTACCTAATGCGACACAAGTCAGAAGCTTATGGAAAATTCCGTGAGTTTCAGGCGGAAGTGGAGCGTAGATTAGGTAAACTTATCAAAACACTTCAATCTGATCGAAGAGGTGAATACCTCTTGGGGGAGTTCAAGGATCATATGGTCAATGAGGGTATTGTGTGCCAGTTATCCGCACCTGACTGCCCTCAACAGAATGGAGTGGCAGAAAGGAGAAACAGAACTTTACTTAACATGGTTGGATCTATGATGAGTTTTGCTACATTACCTCTACTATTTTGGGGATTAGCCTTAGAATCAGCGATGTATATTTTGAACTATGTTCCATCCAAGTCTGTTTCAGGAACGCCATATGAGCTGTGGTTTGGACATAAACCTAGTTTAAATCACATGCATATATGGGGGTGTCCAGCACACGTGCGAAAGAAACAGACAGACAAGTTGGAAGCAAGATCAGATGCATGCTTGTTTGTTGGCTATCCTAAGGGCACTAGAGGTGGATTATTTTATGATTCCAGGGACAATAAGGTTATTGTCAGCACTCATGCTGTTTATCTGGAGGAGGATTATATTATGAACCACAGACCTAGTAGCCAGATAGTGTTAGAGGAGATGGTTGGCACGTCAGATATACCCCCTGTGGACACACCTAATATAAATACTGAGAATGATGAGACACAAGAAGTCCCTGTTGAATTACCATCATCTAGTACATCGATTCCTGCACCGGTCCTTCGGCGTAGTGGGAGGACTATCATCCAACCCGAAAAACTCACACTTTTGGGTGAGGTCTATGAGGCCGTCCCCGATAAGCATGAGTCGGACCCAGTAAGCTATGCGGAAGCGTTGACCGATATAGATGCGAATCGTTGGAAAGATGCCATGAAATCAGAGTTGGAATCGATGTATTCTAACAAAGTCTGGGATATTGTAGAACTTCCTAGTGGGGTTCAGCCCATTGGTTGTAAGTGGATCTACAAATGAAAGAGAGGAATGGATGGGAATGTTGAGACATTCAAAGCTAGATTGGTTGCAAAAGGCTTCACTCAACGTGAATGTATTGATTATGAGGATACATTCTTACCAGTTGCAATGCTTAAATCTATTCGCATTCTTTTGGCCATTAGTGCTTATTATGACTATGAGATATGGCAGATGGATGTTAAGACGACATTTTAAATGGCCATCTTGAACAAGACATCTACATGAGGCAACCAGACAGTTTCGTGGTTAAAGGTCGTGAGGACTGTGTATGTAAGTTGAATAGGTCTATTTATAGACTTAAGCAACCTTCACGCACATGGAACATTTGTTTTGATCAGGCAGTCAAATTATTTGGCTTTGAACAAAACGTGTTTGAACCTTGCATTTACAAGAAAAAACAGGGTAATGTCATCAGAATTCTCGTTTTATATGTTGATGACATCTTACTCATTGGTAATGATGTAGAGGCTTTGTCATCAGTGAAAAGGTGGTTGTTCAATAAATTTGAGATGAAAGATCTTGGAGAAGCAAGCTATATTCTTGGGATCAAGCTTATGCGAGATCGGGTTAAAAAGAAAATAGGCTTGTCTCAAGAGTCTTACATTGACAAAGTTCTGATCAGGTTTGGAATGGAAAACTCTAAGAAATGGTTTTTGCCATTTAGACATGGGTTGGCTCTTTCTAATGATCAGTCTCCCAAGACTGATAAGGAAATTGAGCAAATGAGGCGGGTACCATACGCTTCGGCAGTTGGTAGTCTCATGTATGCCATGGTCTGTACCAGACCGGACATCTGCTACCCTGTAGGGATTGTCAGTAGATATCAGTCCAATCCTGGACTTGATCATTGGTCAGCTGTGAAGAATATCTTAAAATACCTTAGAAGAACTAAGAATCTAATGCTCATTTATGGAGGTGATGATCTGGTTCCAGTCGGATATACGGATTCTGATTTTCAATCAGATCCTGACGCCAGGAGATCTACATCTGGATATGTGTTCAAGTTCAATGGAGGGGCAGTTAGTTGGAAGAGTGTCAAGCAGGGTTGTACTGTTGACTCAACCATGGAAGCAGAATACATTGCAGCCTCTGAGGCAGTAAAAGAAGCTGTTTGGTTGAGAAACTTTCTAATTGAACTGGAGGTTGTGGAGCACATAGATCGGCCTATGACGCTTTATTGCGACAATAGTGCAGCTATAGCCCAAACCAAGGACCCAAAATTTCATAAAGGAACAAGACACATTCAGAGGAAACATCATGTGGTTCGTGATATAGTAAAGCGAGGAGATATACTTGTGGCCAAGATTGCATCGGAACATAACATTGCTGATCCATTCACAAAGGCTTTACCGATCAAGATGTTTGATCGTCATATGGAGAACATGGGAGTTAGATGTGATTCGAATTGGCTATAAGTGCAAGTGGGAGCTGTCAGGATATGTGTGCCCTAGCATAGCAAATTCTAATTTTGGATTGTAAAAGTCATGGTTTCTTATCTGAATATTATTATTAAAGCATTATACAATTGGTGAATGGAATGTATTATTTGTTCGATTCATTATGGAATTGATTGTGTCCACTTGATTACAAAATATATTTATATGTATGTAATGGCAATTAATACTATGTTATAAATTAGTAATCATAAATGGTTTAAAGTCGGTAATTATGGATGGACATTTAATTAATTAAAA